GAACATTACTGTTTTCAACATGCTTGACATATTCAGACCCTAAAAAAAATGTTAGTTAAAGTTTGGTGTTGACATGGTCCGTGGCACTGACTTAAGACTTTTAGACCTTGATAAGCGGGCAGTTCTTTGAACTCAAGTTTGTTGATTTCAGTATCACGATCTATGGTGGGTCAATGAGACTTATAATTATAATTTTACCAAGACATAAGTGTGATTTACAGGGGATGTATTCCACGTACCCATGATTGTGAATTATGCTGTATGAGAGTAGTGATGAGCCATTTCCTGCTGCATCTCTTGGATGCAAACCATGTAGTTGCAGTTGTGGGAGCTAATAATTATCTGTCATGTAATTGACAGGAACAACAGAAAATGATGCACTCGAGAAAGGTCTTAAACAACCATTGCTCATTAGTTCTGATGACAAGAAAGAAGATGAAGATGGTGACCAAGATATAGATGAAAGTGAAGAAGCACCGGAGGAGACCCGTCGACCAGCCACTTCGATTCAATCAGCATATCGACTACTCACACCCTCTGTGAAGGTCCCCCCCTGATTTTGAGTTTCAACGAGTTTCACAGCTCAATTATTCCATTAAATGTATCTGAATCTTTGACGTCAGTGTTAACCTCAAAATAGTTGGAGGTCTGCCTTCACCTAACTCTAGTTGACGCTTTCAATTTTGTATTCTTATCGTGTATTTTGTTATTTTATCTTTAGTGCTAAATCTTTGAAATGTTTTATCTCCACTTCTGTCTGCATTGCTAAATCTTGGGGACATAAACCCTTTCTACTTTTCTGTGGTTTCAACAGGTTCAATTGTTGATATATTTCATGCTCAAGTATGCAATGGAGATTTTACTTTCAGAATCTAGTGTTATTACCACATACTACTTTAGCTGGAATACAAGCAAAGTCGCAATTTTTCTTTTCTGTCTTGGGCTAACCGTTCTTCCGGTAAATATTCTTGTTGGGAGCTACATCAGCAACATGTTTGAAGACAGGTAATTTTTCACAGGAAGAATACCTTCAATCTTTCTTTACGTACAGTGCTCTATTATAGTTGCTAGTTGAAAGTTCCATTAATATTTGTCCTGCTCACTGATGGATTTGTTCTTGTTGACCTGACCGCAGGCAAATTTTATTAGCATCTGAAATAGTGGTTTGCATAGGCATAGTTATGAGCTTCCATATGTTTAATCCATACTCTGTGGTACAATATGTCAGCTCAGGGCTCATCATGTTTGTTTCAGCCGAAGTACTGGAAGGTGATATATTTTTATTCAATTCAATTACTTTTTGGTTTATAGAAATGAAGGGAAATGCTACATAAAAGATAAAACTCCGAACTGTGTTTTTTTGGTTTACGTTTTAGTTTAAAAATCCTCCTCTCTTCCTCACCTTTCTAATCTCTCTCCTCCTCTTCTCTGTCTTCCTTAGAACATGTAAAGTAATATCAAATGCACAAAATTTCATCAGTAAATCTTTTTTCCAAAATGGTTTATGCAGCATATAAGAAAGTCCTCTTTCTTACACTTGTACGTGCAACCATCGTTTATGCAGGTGTCAACTTGTCACTTCTCTCTAGGGTCATGTCATCGAGGCTTTCCCGCGGAACTTACAATGGTGGATTACTTTCAACAGAAGCTGGGACACTCGCTCGAGTAGTTGCAGATGCCACCATAACTCTGGCTGGATACTTGGGGGAGAGTAAGCTCCTGAATGTCACCTTATTTCCTTCCCTCTTCATTTGCGTTATTTCCATTATTGCCACCTGCTTTACATACAACACTCTCTATTGATTCATCTTTATTGGCATCAGAAAAATGCCCGATCTCTTCCCAATTCAAAAACCTCCTCAATTTTTCCGTTGAAGTGTTATTATTTTTTAGCCGTGTGTATAGAAAACTAGGTCATTGTTTATGGTCTCCAATTCCTATAAAACCCCATTGTGCCCTACTGTACTCGCTTCCCCCATTTTTATACTTGCAATCACTTGAAATGCTTACGGGATGTTCTCCCGGCTTGTGCAAGCTAGTTTAAGGGAATTTTATTTATTTATTTTGGGTCTGAAAGGGCAAATGCTTAATTAGGAAAGAAAAGGGTTACCAATGAAAAATGATTGAAGAATCGTCTCCTGGTGATCCCATTTTTTTGACATATCAACTTGGTAGGCCATGATTGGTTCAGCCCCAAAAAGATGAAGAGTAAATGTATAAAGTATTAACATAGGAAGTATTTACCCTTTTTATTGCCATTTTCATCTTGAAAATGAGAATAATTCTCTCACACACACGTGGTGAGAGTCCATTATATTATAAGATTAATATAAGATCCTCTCAAAGGGATGTTTGAAAAAGAAAAGAAGAAAAGAGCCATAAAAAAAATGGACTTTTCTTTTAGTAAATTTAGGTTTTAGTCATAAATTTTTTTTCACTTTTGGAAAAAGCAAAAACTTTTAAAAAAAGACAGAAAAACCTCTTAACTTTCAAATCAAAGACATGCAAGTGTAATTGATTTCTTAGAAAATCCAAAAATAAATAAGGGCAAATTTGTCTATTTTGACTTCTTTTACAAAATTTCTCTCTCCTTTGAATTCTCTCTCCTTTCTTTTCTTCTTTGTCGCTCATTGAAAGTGAACGTTGCTAATAAATCACCGGAAAATATCGTGTGGCCTTTGACGATGATGCAATTATGTTTTCTAAACTATTTGGTCAATGGCTCCAAACCTACCCAATTAATTAAAAATAACCCTTAAAAATCCAAAAAAATAAAAAAGAAGATAAAAAATTTTCTTAGGGCTCTCGGCATTTAAAGTCTTCTTCCTTCTGTTTCGGGAAACTCTTGTATAAAACTCCGTTTATGCAAGCATTATTTCCCTTGTAGACAGATGAGTGTTTAACAAATCACCACATGGTCTCTTGTTTCAGCATAAATTAACCAAGAAAAATTGTGGTTACTAAATATCCACCTACTTCATGTTTACACCTCCATTGGAGACGGTTTTATATGGTCCATATCCTTTCAACGTTGGCAAATGCGCAATTCAAAAAATGTTAATAAGTTGAAGCTCTCACTCCAAAGCTCTATAGTATTTGTTTTTTCTTTTAATATAAGCGATACAGGAGGGGGTTTCTCACGCACAAATTACCAAGGTGTCAGAGTGATTCGAATATGAGACCGATGGTTTGTAAATCAAAATCTTTTTTCACTGAATTAGACCCATTGGTGTGCATGTTAGTACTATATTTGTTTACATAAAGAAAATGTTGGATTCTCTTTTTTTCTTTAATAAATTCCAAAACCTATGTTTTGGAGTCAAAGCTAATTATTTTTAAACGATTAATCAAAATAAGCAATGTATTAGTGTACCAATATGTTGTAATTCTAAACTTTTAAATGAGACATTAAGATCCAACTACTTGTGTACAAGTAGTAGTTCAACTTCTTTATTAGGCTAATAAGTAAGTCCCCATGATCCCTTTGAATTTGATCATCTTCAAAAAGCCACTCTGGCATTTGAAGTCATTCCACATCGATTGCGACTGCGACTGCTATTTTTGCTTTCCAAAAGTTCGTCGATAAAAGTTATAGACAATGTATTAAGTAATGATGTAGACTAAAATATGGGCAAAATTAAAAATGGCACTGTCATTGTTTTCATAGTGCTCCAAACATTGACACAAAAATGAGCTAGTCACGCCAATAGGGTCTAATTTAGTGAAAATGGCATTGACCTGTAGACTAGAGGTCTTAGATTCGAACCCTCGTGGCGTCTTAGTTATGTTTGTGTATGAGAAACCCTTCTTCCCCTTTGTTTAGACTATAGCTTGTACCATATAAGAAAAGGCAAAAGTTTATTTTCGGTCTCTATAGTTTGTTAGTTTTACCCATTTGATTCATGCAATTTTAATTTTGTCAATTTTATCCTTGTAGTTTCAATTTTGAGCGATTCAAAGATACGTTTCAATTTATGTCAAATTCCTTCAAATTTCATTAAGTTTTGATCAAGTGCCCCTCATGTGGAGGTTCACTCGAGCCATATAACAATAAAACACAACATGGAGCTCTTCCCATTCACTTTAGGCACGATTTTGGGGCTTAGGGTTTCAAAAGAATTTACATTTTTGGATTGAAATTAGGGCAAATTGGAAGGAATTTGACTCGAGTTGACCACCCATCTATGTGAGTGACACGTGGTCAAAACTTAACATAATTGAGAGGAATTTTGACAGAAATTGAAATATATTCTCGAATTGCTTCAAATTGAAAACTATAAGGATAAAATTGCAAAAATTAAAACTAAATGGACACAAGTGGTAAAACCGGCAAACTACAGGTACTATAAATGACTTTTTACCTAAAAAAATTAGCTAGTCACGATGTGAGCATTTGTAGGCAATTTTCAATTATAAATAAGTGTTAATTAACAGTTAGAAATCGCCCATGATAGACTTTTGCAAAATCCACCCGAAGCAAATAATGCAAGCCCTCACCAACACTCAGTAGTAGTACTTCGCACCTCACACTAGGGCAATTGAGACCATAATGCTCAGCAAATGGCACATTAATTTTGCTGAAAGCAAGCAGACACTAGTCCAAATTTCTAGCCCAATGTATAGCATGTGAAGCTAGATATTTGAACACCTAGTGTCACCACATAGCTCACATTCTTTTCTTTTTTTGAGTTTTGGGGTCTATAAATTGACCGAGCTAATTTCTAGCTCCTATGTCACAATCTTGTGCATTGTCTTGAATCTTTTTTTGATCTCCTCCATTTTCTCTGCACATCATTGGGTTTGTGAGCTTCTTTTCAGTACTTACCGCTGCTGAGATCGTTGAGCCCTGAAACTTGTAGTAAATATATATATATAAAAGGAACTGCTTAAGGTTTGTAGGGCAAAGCAAGCAAGCCCATTTACATAAACACACAAAAGCTCTTTGGGTAGGAGTTGTTTTGAAAGTGGGATATATTACATTATACATAATGGGTTTTGGGTGGTGGAAATTGTTTGGTGCTGCCCTCGTTGGGATTCTCTTCTTTCATGGCTTTTGTGGAGCTGAAACAGGTACCAGTTTTTTATTATTATTAATTATTTGTGAATATTGTGAGTCTTGTAATTGCATGAAATGAAAGCAGTGATCTCTGAGTCTGAGTTTGTGAACAAAAATATTTTAAAAAAATACACTAGTGAAATATTTTTCCAAGAACAGTAAGTATAATCTTTTTTCTCTGTAATTTACAGTTCCGAACTTTAGCTTCATGCACAATGCAACCACAGCTCCGGACATATCGTACTATGACTACATTATAGTGGGTGGTGGCACTGCTGGCTGCCCCTTGGCCGCCACTCTATCCCAAAACTACAGCGTTTTGCTACTTGAACGCGGCGGCGCACCCTATGGCAACCCCAACATTACTAATTTGTCAGCCTTTGGCCGTGCACTCTCTGACCTTTCCCCCACCTCCCCTTCACAGCGCTTCATCTCCGAGGACGGTGTCATTAACGCCCGGGCCCGCGTGTTAGGTGGCGGAAGCTGCCTCAATGCCGGTTTTTACTCACGCGCCGCCACTGACTACGCCAGGTATAAATATACGTATAATTTATTATATCTAGGTACATATGATATTCACTTGTTTATTGTTATGCCTTTAGTTTTAATGGGAAAAGGAAATTAATTGTGTGCTCACACATACTTCATTTAACTAAGATCGATGCCCATTCTTGTCTTTTTACCTTTCTTTAGGGAAGCAGGATGGGATACGCGGTTAGTGAACGAATCGTACCAATGGGTGGAGCGGCTCGTGGCGTTTCAGCCACCAATACAGGCGTGGCAATCAGCGGTGCGTGCCGGTCTGGTGCAAGCCGGGGTGGTGCCCTACAACGGGTTCACTTATGACCATATCTACGGGACTAAAGTTGGGGGGACCACATTTGATCTCGAGGGACATAGACACACTGCCGCAGATTTATTACAGTACGCTAACCCCACAGGACTTACCGTGCTCTTGCATGCCACTGTCCGCAAGATCCTCTTCAGAACAAAAGGTTTGTGATCTCCTCCTC